CGTGGATCATGGATAATTTTATTTTTGAAATGCATTAATTCAAATAAGGCTCAAACAAATAAGAACAACTTTTAACTATTTTAAAATCTGAAAAGCTTTGCCCTTCCACTAATCATTTACTATCTAAGCTGAGTTTAAAGCATGCTATGAGAAACTGAAACCAACCCTAGTTATGTGCTGCTAAATACTGTTATGTGCCGATGTATACTGTGGGCAGATATGATTTATTTGCAGCCGATATATTAACCAAGCCCTAGAGAAAACTTTAAATAATAGTGCATTTGAACAGAATGTTCTGTGACACCCATATGTATTTCCTATTGTTTATTTGTGTGAAAATTTCTGTAGTTTTTCTTTAGTTTGTTCCTTACCAAGTGGACCATACCTTGATTGGGTTGACATCATGTGACAGACTAATTCAACTCTTTTATGTAAAAAAAAACAAAACAAAACTTTGAGTCAGTGTGCATCCTATCTGCATTGCTGCAGTTGTTTCAGTTTGAGCAAGTGGCATGCAGCTGCGCTCTTCACAATTAACCTCCTATTTCTGTCTGCTCTAGCATCGTCAATAATTTATCTCGGTTCATTTTAGTGTAGAGCAACTGCAACGCTGGAGTCATCTCAGGGCACTTTACACAGTCAGGAAACAAATATATTTTATTATATTGTGTTAAGTAACCAAATGTAAATGGATCCAGATTGGACAGATTCAATTTACTCAATTTTATATTTAAATGTATTTTTTTTTTTTAAATGTAATCTGACCCTTTTTCTATAGCAACTTGTGAATGTTTACACCACGTGTAGCACTCTGGATTTGTGGTCGAACGTCATTAAATGATGGAAAACAAAGCTTATGTTTGATCCAGTAAGTTCAACATATTGAAGAGCTATATTTTATTTCAACAATATATCCAAGAGCTATATTTTGTGGAATCAATGCAGTCTTGTAACATCTAGAGGGTTTTCTATGCATTCAGCTTACAAGATGAGGGGGGGGGGAAATAGGTAAAAGATCTTAAAAGCATTATGCCAGGTCCAAGTATGACGAAATTAGCAAACAGATGACGAAACAACTCCCTGACATTATACCTAACCTTTAACAATAGGAAAGAGACTGGAAAAAATGATATCCATGAAAGAGTTTGAATGTCAAACCATAAGTGTCTCGTTATCAGTCTCCCATAGTTGAATTTTGTTGGTCAGTGGGTGCGGCTGCAACGCAAGAGCACAAATATAACAAAAACAGAATTTCAAAACCAATACTGACCAAAATGAACACAAAGATGTGTTTTAGAGTTACTAAAATACACTTTGATCAAAATGTTCTGTGGACGGCAAAGTAAAAGTGGAACTTTATGAAAGGAGTTGAAAAACAAACGTTATACTGACCATCAAAATGATGGTAGTAGCGTGATGGTACGCTACTGGTGGTCCGATGGCAGCTGTTGCCACCGATGGGGGCATGACCAGTTGTTAGGTTTAGTTTTTCACATTGGGCAAAGTTGTTTTTGCTTTTATTCTCCCTCACTTAATAATTGAAATTCTAATTTAAGCATCTTGTATTCGGTCACATGACCTGTGTATGAAAATATAGTTTGTTCTGGAACAATTATGCGTTACCATAAAACTAAAACAGAAAATATCTGGGGGCGTGGGAATAGCTTTTTTTTATGACCTTGTAAGTGGGCAGGAGAAGGGACACTGTGGGAACGGGAAATCACAAACACCAGGCATCCCGCCACCAATAAAATAAAGCAAGATTATTTAGCAGCCTGTTTTGCTGCACTGCAGCCGTGCCAATCGTCACAGGGAGAGAAATGACCGGGGCTGAATCAAGTCATTTATTCCACTGAGTTGACCATGAGTCTCTGCTCATAAATAACAATCTTACCAGCCTTCCTTCTAGCGATGAATCTTTCTCTCACAGCTCTGCGAAACCAGCTGACTGCTTCACCCAAGGTGGCGTGACGAGTTATCTGAAAGACATCACTGCCGTATCAGCCTGAATTGGCGTTTTAATCAGTTTTTTTTTTTTTTTCGTACTGAAATGCTTGCATATTAGTCACTGAACTATTGCCCAACCACTGCAATAAAAATGAATCATGTGGGAAAAGTCTTTACGCTGAGTGAAATTATTTGCTGGCTGCTGTTTCACTATTGGTTATTAGACAGAAAACTGTGCCCTGGGGTGACCCCCAAAATCTTTTTTTTTTTTTTTTTTTTTTTTTTTTACTGTTTCTTGAAAATTTTACTATTGGATTAAAATGTTGTGGACATAATCTCCAAAATGTAAAAATAAATGTATGTATATAGTCTACAAAAAAAATATTCAAAAAGTCAAATCGAAGAACATAAGTGATGTAATCACTTTAAAAAAAAAAAAAAGGAAATTGCAGAAGTAATGAGTACCAGTTGCTACCAAACCAAACTGCGTGTCCTGTTTAAATGTGTTCATCATTCCATATAAAATGATTTACGGCTTCATAATGATATCACCAGGGTTTTCCTGTAATTGACGATGATTCTGTGTCTCAGAAGACTCTCTCTCTCTCTCTCTCCCTCTCTCCACCGCTGACTCGCCCACTTCTCCCTCGCTCAGCTTCTCCTCAAACATTTTCGAGTCAGCTGTGGACGTCCTGCTGGAGAGACGCCCTGTGTCTCCTGATCCCTCCATGTGTCGGAGCACAGTTCAGTATTCACCTCCGCCACATACTAATCCTTTCATTTGCTGCGGCTTCAGGCGGTCGGGTCAAAGAGCCGACTGTGTGGGGAGTCAGGAGGGACGGACACTGATACAGAGATGCATTTACAGACGTGTACAGTAGCTCAAATACTGAAGCACTTTACTAACAAAAAATATGTTTATGCATTCATACAGAAGATCCACATTTGCACTGCTAAATATACATATCACCATTGCACACATTTTTTTTTTTTTTTTTCATGTAGTCATCCTAAAAGACATTACATCCTCTTTAAATTTTTGGGTTTAACATGTTGGGACAGGATAAAAATCATGTGGTCTTTACTAAATTTCCAAAAATATTTTTCATTTAGCCTCAAGTATGCAAAAATGAACAGATTCCCCTCTGTCTTTACCTTATTAAACAAGAGGAGAGCAATTGTTGCTGTCCATGAACCTTCTTTAGGGTTAAAAAGCTATTCCCAAGCAATTTGAGGTTCAAAAGGGAGATTTTTCACAAGCTTAAAACATTTCAGATAGTTGTCAAACTTCCAAGACGTAGATTTCCAGGAAAGGTCATCCCAAAAAGAAACGAAAGCTAAATCGCTGACTCTAGGTTCTAGTTAACTTAAATGTGTGAAATTTACAACGCTACGATAAAAAAGAGCAAATGTGTTTGAGGGGGTTTTTTTCAGAAGGCCTATAAGGAGACAATCCCAAAGACTTGCACGTTTATCGATCTGCTGCTACTGTCAAATGAAGGAATACACTTCTTCCTTGATGTATAATTTCAGCTCCAATTATGCGTTAGCAGATGTTCATGCTGCTCACTAATGGGCATGCAGACCATCCGATTGGCTTTTAATCTGTAACACTGATTACACAAAACAGATGGTTACTCCCCTCATTAACTTTTTTTTTTCCTACCACATAATCATTTTAATTGAGGAAAAAAATATTCTGGACTTTTTTTTTTACTCTGTATACTCACTCATTAAGATGGTAGTGGTAGAAACCTTTTTTAAGATCTGACTCTGACAGACATCAACATTTTTTAAAATTGTTTAAAATAAAGTCTGGATTCAATTGATGCGGTTAAAGACTAACCGGTAGTTATTATTTTTGGCAAGCAGAGCTTAGAAGAAAACATCTCTCAAATTAAAGGTTGTGATGCTTCATGAGGATTTTGAAAACGATTACTAAAATTGACGAGTATATATGGATAAATATCACATATTTAGGTGTAACATGACTTGTAATTTGATCATCTTTTGTGAGAATATTATGGAATCAGGTGTAACTTAACATGTCATTTAATTGCTTTTCTTTAGAACCCATTTAAAAAAAACTATATTTAAAAAATATGAATTATGATAGTAAGCTATGCGTTTTATTTTTATACAACATGCCTGTTACATGGAGTATCTACCTTTTTGCTGTTGTATGTGGCGCTATACTGAGTAACGCAAGCTGATGGTTATTAAAGCTTTCTGCTGCTGTAGCCAGCCTGCAGTCACTCGCTTGAAACGTTTCACCTTAAGTTTTGATGTGGTCACATTAACTCTTTGGTGCCCACAGATTTTGCAAGCTTTATTTTCAATTCTCTATTTTTAATAGTCATTTTAAAGGAAAGTTGTACAAAACCTGGACAGCGTTTTGTTATTTTATAGTCCAGCTTCTCAAATTCCTGACTTCAGGTTTACCGACAAGTTTAGTCCCACTGACCTCTGTTATAACGGCATATTTTTGATATACCACAGAACTTGCTCTACAAGCTTTTAATAGGAATATACATCAAAGCCTGTACTTTCAAGATAAAGGGTCTTCGGCTGGCCTTGGCAAATTGATTTGCTCGTTGACCTGAACGCTTGCAGCCACTGTGGAAATGTTCATCAACAGATAGGTGAGGGGCAGCACTGCCGCACAGCCAGAGAAAAAACTTCAGTCATTCCACTGCTTTCTGTGGCATCTCATTAAAAGAACATTAAACAATAGAAACCACATGAAGGAAATTTTTTTTTTTTTTGGCTACGTTTCAGAAACCGTAACTAAAACTAAGCTGTAATATGCCCCGACATCCAGAACTGGCCTGTGGCTATATGTACATATACGGCGCTCTGTTGCTCTACACCTCGCAGCAAGGCACATCTACTCTAACAATATTGTTTTCCAAAATTGTGGCCCTGAAGAATGCGTAATTGGCACTTTCCGCAACCCTAAAAGCAGTGCGTCAAAAAGGGCCCGGGAGGATTCTGATTTGCAACGCTTTGAATGTAATATGACTGTTTATGTCTCTTGTGTCCCCTGTCAGGAAACCAAGATGAAAAACCCCACCACTGACCGCAGGAAGGATTTACGTGCCCATTAAAACGTTCTCTTCATGCATCAGCCAGCTTTTTCTGCGCTCACGCAGCTGACTGCCGTCGTTCCCAGATACAGCCACACAGACAGGGAGACGACGACGTGGAGCGAGTGAGGGAGTCGGTAGTAAATTCAAACAGATGAGTCACTTGTGAGTGACGGACGACCTAACGATGTCTGGAATGGAGTCGTCCGGCAGACCATGAAGCGAAGTGGACCATTTGTGTTTCCGATGACGAAGTAATTCACAGAAAGTGGGACCTGAGAGGCGGCGACCTAATTCAGGATAAATGACGTCGGTCTGACAAGTCGCCCGCCTCCTTACTAAGTGATGGAACATCATCGGAAACGGATTGTTTTGATTGAGGCTGGAGTGTGTGAGGTTACATGATATTACTGAGAGTGTGAGCTTTGATACCGCACGCAGTTATGTTGAGGCGCGGACTGCTAACCTGGGTGTCCCGTGTGGGGGGCCTGCTGGTGCTCCTCTGCTGCTCCCTCTCACTCCTCTACTTGATGACCTGCAGCCCTCCACATTCCAACAACCCTCCGCTGAGTCACGTTTTACCCCATGCAGGGTCCAACCACCCCAGCCTCGGAGGTACAGGGCCCGTGGTCGGAGCAGGGCCCGGCGGGACAAGGGGAGCAGGGGATGCTGCCCAAAGCCGGGGTCCGCCTGCAGCACACTCTTACCAGATGCTCCTCCAGGAGCGTGAGGAGCAGCACCGCCTCTACATCTCCTCCTTAAAGAAACAGATCGCTCAGCTGAAGGAGGACTTGCAGGAGCGCAGCCTGCAGCTCAAAAGGGTGCAGGAGAGCCTGAAAACGGCCGCAAACGGACTCCCAGAGGGGCGGGACGGGGGCGTCGAATTGCAGGGGGGTGGCTTTGGAGAGGTTCAGGGGGCAAAGAGCCAGCAGTCTGACCTGCAGGAGTTCCTTCGAGCTCAGCTGTCAAAAGCCGAGATAAGCTCTGGCACCAGGTTGCCCAACGAGTACGCCGTGGTGCCTTTTGAGAGCTTCACCCTGCAGAAGATGTACCAGCTGGAAATGGGGCTCACGCGTCACCCAGAGGAGAAACCCGTGAGGAAGGACAAGAGAGATGAGCTGGGAGAGGTGCTGGAGGCGGCTCTGCACAGCCTCAACACAGCCTCATCGCGTCAGGATAACAGGGTGGCAGCAGAAAAGACTCAAACTAGCAAAGTCTACACACCGTCTGACTTTATAGAAGGTAAAACACTTTGCCTGATGTAGTCGATGTCTACATTCCTTTCCAAAAGTGGCTTTTTTTTCCCCACATTTTGTCTTTTTATGACCACAAACTTTAATGTAATTTAATATCCAACAACCCAAAGCTTATTGGGATGTTGTGTTATGTATGAATAACTTTCAATTTTTCAAAAAATAACCTGGAAGGTTTGATTTGCATTATAATTTAGCTCGATTGGGTCAAAACCCAACAGATAAAAGTAAAGTCATCTTTTGCAGCAAATACAGCGACATGTCTTCTAAGTTTTTTTTCTCATTGCAGACTGGAAAATGTTGCCTTTATTTCATCGCAGAATAGTTTAAGCCCAGTTGAATTGGCTAGAGAGCATTTGTGTACATTGTTGAAGTGTTGCCACTTATATCCTCAGTTAACCGGGCCATTCTGAACTGAAGTATGTCTTTATACTGCAAGTGAATGTCTGCCCCAGTTTTTTGAGTCACATTTTCTATCCATCTTCTTAAGGCCTCTTACAAACCTCCCTGCTGCCAGCATACAGGACAAATGCGCGCCACAAATATAAACCCAAATATAATGCAGTGAAATTTGTAGTTCTGCAATGACTACACAGGAAAAGTTCAAAGGATAAAATGATTTGTGCAGATCCTGTAAACGCAACTTTTGAACTCGCATAGTGCAAGTAAAGAATAGGATTTCACTTTATTTGTTTGAAATGCAATGCCTTGCCATTAATTAACGCCTGTCCTTACCTAAGCAATTAGGTTAATAAGTGCTACAGGCAGCAGCTGCTGGCGCAGTATGACTTGCAAAGCAGTCATTTGATTTTTATCAGCAACAACGCCACTTACTCTGGAAATCCAAACCAAACTCCACATTTAACAAGCATTACGTTGGGTTTATACATTTTAACAAGCAAACTTTTAAAGCTTCATCTTATCATATACTTTGGTCACAAAGTCAACAGAGAATACTGCCTCTTTGAAGGGGTTTGTGGTGTACCATTAAATGAGCTCTGGTATGAAAGAGTCAACATGGGAAAAGCGAAATGAGCTATAACAATTGATTTGTGATGTTGCAGAGTTCAGTATCGGCGGACCCCTGTGGACCAATAGCCCACAAACTTCAAATTATATACTCTGCTGTTTTCATACAGAACCAGTCCCTAAAGCAAAAGGCTGGTAAAAAAAATATATTTTCATAGCAGCTTCTGTGTAGGGAAGTTGTGTAGTGTAACCAATTTCTCCATTGGTTGCACCTTGTGAGGTGCAACAAAAATGATTGATTTTTACGCTCTTTTTTTCCCTACTGTTCTGGCTGCATAGCATGTTCAACAAAACCAGGTTACCGTTATTCTAACGAGGCCAGCAAAACCCAAATCCCTTCTCAGAGATAATGTATGACAGATTATTATTATTTTTAGCCTCTTTGAATTTTTTGTGCTCCAGAATGATTAAAAGCGTCTTGTGACATTTTCAGCTCAAAAGACACATTACTTGACATTTTAGTCACAGTCGCTCTAAATTGTTCCATTTCAGGGCTCTGGAAACGGTATGAAAATCATTTTACTTAGCCACTTTAATGTTGCTTTAATTAGGACACAATGAATCCTGCAGGCTTTGCCTAAAACCGCTGTACCGAAAGCTTCAACTTTTAACTTGATGCCTTCAGATGTGCTTGGGCATTGAGCTGTCAGCATGTCAGATTACGGCAGAAAGATGAATCGCCAAATGGATCCATGGTTCCTTTGGTAGACGGATGCACAGTCTCAGAAAACGCAAGGTCTCTTTGCTTATATAAAATGGACACCCGGCTGAACAGACGTTTTGGTTGACGTGAATATCCACATTATAATTTCTCTTTTTAGCCATTTCTGAAGTACTTGTACGGTAGGTGAAATTGCTAGATCAACCTAGGGACACTGAGATGATATTTGACCCAATTTGACTCTTTGGGGTGTCATCAGGACCGTAATTGGTGTGCTGCCGATTCCACCAGTCAGCAGAAATATGTGCATTAATGGCAGGACACGTCTGAGAGCTTTGTTGCTGTACCCACAGCTGCCTTCTTTACTGTCACTGCAGGGATTAACATAAAAGACAAGCAGGAAGTTTTCTGTGCATGATGCATCCTGTGAGTTTAAATGGTTTTCTGTTACTT